GGAGAGGCACGGTATGACAAAACATTAAACACCCACCCATCCCTTTGTTCTTTATTCTTGAATGTTAACGGACACTTAAGGGCTGTACTGGACAGTCATGAAAGCTTATCATCTTCTCTATCAGGTGACTTAACTGAAGCTCGGCGAGTGTTGGAGGCCCTGGAGAAGAAACTGCCAGGTTTGGCGGTCGTCCGTATCCGCAGGGCTGCTTTGGAGAGACGAGCCGGCCAGCTGGATCAGTCGGAAGCCTTGCTGAGGGAGGCGGTGGCTGAATCCAAAGAGAAGCCCACGTTACACGCTTTCTATTCAATCAAGCTGGCTCGATTGCTGCTAAAACTGGGCAGGGACCCCAGCAGTGCCCGCAGTGTTTTACAGGAAGCGCTGGAAATTAGTCCGGTGAGATGACAGAACACAATTCATTCATATTGCCAGAGAAATTATGTTAGACCATAAATTTGTGTAAGCTGAAAAGTGAAGACGATGCTTGCATTCTTTGTAATGACCAGCAGGGGTCGACTCTGATTGCAAAAACAATCAGAGTCGACCCCTGAAAAAGAGTCTTCCGTATTGCTCACTTGATCTGGGACCTTGGTTAACTTTTTCCTGATGCTTTCGTAGGTTGAATCAGATGTTTTAAATCTCACTGAATACACACATGATGTTCAGTTTGTAAATTGTGTTCCTAACTACAGCAAAATGGACAAAATAGCAAGATTGGGGCAGAAAACACACAAATGGTGGACACCAAAAACCATTATGTCCATTACGCCATTATTATAAAAATTCTGCTCCAGGTTTTGAAACTTGTTTTGCATACCTGTACCAGTTTAAAGCTTCTACATTAACCTCTTACATTATATTGCAAACATGCTCACTTTACAGTTTGCTTAATAAGTAATGATTTTTCACATTTGGGCAGAATTTTAATGGCAATTAAATGTTTGTTTTTTTCCATTTTGACCACTTAAACATCTAATTTGCTTCACATATACGCAAGCTTTGCATCCTGTATTGTTTGAGCAAACTTTAAAAAACTGAAAGAAAGAAAATTCAAATTTTAGTGGACTTTTAAAGTAGGTACTAATTGCCCCCATCCTCTTTCTCCCCTTTCATTATCCTTCTCCTCAGGATAATGATAAACTGCACATGAACCTGTTGGAGCTGGAGGTTTCAGGTGACCCCTGGGCCTCAGCCTCAGCGGTGCAGGAGTGTGTGACACGAGCTCTGGCAGCTCCTCTCGAACCTCACACCAAGATCCTCTTCTCACAGAGGGGCCTACAGTTCGCAGAGGACTACAGCAACTCTATCCAGAGGTCAGAGTTCAGAAAGAGAACTATTTTAAATTAAACTGCTCCCTTAAACCCTTTCAGGTTCTTCAGTTTTTATATGTGTGTCCTCTGCAGTGTGCTGTCTGTTTACGAGGAGCACCAGAAGCTGCTGAAGGAGCTCGGTGGAACAAAGAGAGAAGCAGAGAACGGGTGAGAGAGGGAGGAACGACTAACTAAATGTGAAATGGACTTAAACCTGGTATTATTTAACATGTAGTGGGTGGGGTTTCACTTCTAGATGATTTATTTTTCTTAAAGAATAGTCCTTCATGTTATTGTCATCTGCCTCATTAATAAACATGTATAACAGCTGAGGTCTAGATGCATATTTTTGCTGAGTAAACGAGATGTGAACTGATTAGAATGAAAGTCACGCTTTCAGGATTTTCGTTCTGTAGGGATGAAGATCCAGAGAAGCTGAGCAAAACTGATGACGGCTCTGCTGTGTCTGCACAAGTCCCACCTACCATGCCGCACGTCCCCATCACCACGCCGCCTCCTCCTGTGATGGGCGCCGATATGAGCGCACAGACTGGCTACGGAGGATACAGCAGCTGGTACCAGGTAACACTCAGATTTATATAAACTCTGTATTATGTGGTTTAACATGTCTGCCTGTGTTTTATTAATAGTGGAGTAGGATCAGAATACTTTATTAATCCGAGAGTAAATTATGTAATTGTTAGATTAGGGTGGGTTTGAGGCTGCATATAGAAGATGAACACAGCCTCCTATTAGTTTACAAATGTTCAGCTCTAATTTAATAGCTATTTGAAAGCAACATGTATGGACAAGAGGTTGGACTGCAATTTGCACAAATACAGATACCTGATAATTGTGTTGTTTTTTTGTTTTTTAATGCAATTATTTGCCAAATAATGTTACCTGTTCTGTAAACGGACCATCCAAAGAAGTTTTTGTCTTCAGTTTTGATGAGAATTTCTCGTATTTTATTAGTGTGTTATTTAGCTCTAATAGATGTCTGGATTTGAATCTGTTGGTCAGCTGGGGTCTTTCTGTGTGGAGTTAACATTTTCTCCCAGAGCCTGTGTTGGTTCTGTCCGGGTGCTCCAGGTTCCTCCGTAGTCCAAAAACAGGCTTGCTGGGTTGATTGGTTCATTCTAAATTGATCATATGTGACCTATTAAGGGTGTACCCCTGCCTCCTGCCCAGTTGAACCCATCGTAATATGCTCCTGCGAGCTAGCCAAACAGGCCTATAGACTAGTGAGGGTCCCATTATACCTGCCGTCCAGGGCCAAACATAAATAGATGTGGCTGTATGACCGTTACCAGTGCTGCACATATAATAGGGCTGTCAGATACCCCTTACAACCACCAGTCCTTTGAAAAAAACATATGTTGTCGCGGATAATCAGACCAACTTGACAAAATTCATTTTTAGCATTTGCTCCAGGAAGCATTGTGTGACTGGGGCTTAAAATAAATTGATGGAGTTTAGCAGCTAAAGATTTAAGCTTGGAGTTCAGAAACTAATGGGCTATGTTAATGATGGCTGTAGCCATCATTTATCTACAGTCTACTGAGAATGACTAGATGCTCCTTCAAGTGGACGCTCAAGAGGTGTCTTGATTTTTCAGCCCCCGAGGTTCCAGCTTGGTTTAATGTAGCAAAGCACAGTTTAAGATGTTTTTAATCCGGTTTCCTGTTTGTCGTGGTTTTTCTCCAGCAACCACAATACGGCAGCTACGGCTACCAGAACACCTGGAACTACAACCAGGGCTACTATCCACCCAGCTAGAGAGAGCAACAGCAAAAGACCGCATCAGGCCACTGAACAATAAAACTGAACTGAACAGTCCTCCAGACTGTGGAGAAGTTTCATCCTGCTAAAGTTCATCCAGTCATTATTCTTCCCTCTCCGTCCTTCCTCTCAGTCACCTCACTGTCTCACTGGATTTATGAAAACGAGGAGTTGAGGTCATTTAAAAGATCATCTTTTCATTTTTTTTCCCCCCTGAACAGCAGGTGGAAAGATGAAAGGAAACACGGCGCTCATCTTCAGTGGCGTGTCTGAATTTTAATCAGAACTATTTTTGTATTCGTTGCAAGTTGACCGCTTTGCTCGTGTTTTAAAATCATCCAACTTCACAGGTGATGTATGATTGACATTTTGTACCATTCCACAGACTAGGCTATGTTTTTTTTCTAATGTATATAAAGGTGTTTTATAGTGTGTCACAACACTGCTTCTTTGTGTCATGTGTTTCTGCTTGTGTGTTCATAATTAGAGTGGGTGGGGCAAAAAAAATCAAATATCACACTGTAAAACTGGTGGCCTGTTTCTGGTCGCTGTGCCTTGCTCATTATCTGGAGTTTACATGTCAGAAAGAGCATTTACAAGAAAGAGAATGCCCTTTGTTTAAAATAAAGTGTTGGCTGGATGGGCACATGCAAACAGGGAAAGCGCTCGTCTTCTTCGTGGGTTTTTATTTTTAGCCAAACTAGCATAATTTCTGTGAGAAGAGGGACTGCTGTTGGTTAGCGACTGTGATCTGGGCTGAAACTCAGACACAAGATTTAAAACTTACTGAAAAAAGATGCTGAGGATTTTTTTTTAATAGCCAAAAAGAAAAACTTGAAGTTAAGGAAGGCCATCTGTAACGTGGACATTGTTAGACTTGTACATATCAAATTGAGTTAAACTGACAGCGTCTGGTTGTGATTTTTGTCTTGTATAATGCCAGCACCAGTGGCTGTTTAGTCAGGACTACAAAGTCCAAAAACTTGTGTTATTTGGTGGATTAAGTATTGATTTCAAATGTGGACAAAATGCCAAACATGTAATGTGGGAGTGAGTCGCAGCAGGAAAAGGATCTGTGGCAAACTACAAAACCCAGAGGAAAATCACTTGAGTCAACTTTAGACTTTACACAGAGATAAAATCACTAAGTCAACAAGATTGTGTAAATATGGTTTCCTGCTTAAGACCTACTTTATCAAATTTTTTGCAAATCTGTAAGAAAGTATTAAAAAAGCTCCAGATCCCCAGACAATCTGAAGCACTTTGGGTTTACATTTGAATTTTGGACTATTAACCTTGAATATTGATTAACAGATGATCCTCTAAACCGGGGGTTTCAAACTCATTTTGCACTGCGGGCTAAATACAACACACGGTAATCTTGAGTGTGCCGGACCAAAGAAACTCCCCTTTCTAAGGAAGTTTAACTACACATCAACTACCAATTGTGAAAAAAAATTGTAGACAGTGGAGGAAAAAAACCCAAACTTTTCTGTCATCCACTTGTTTATTACTTAATTACTTTGAAGCATGGGGGAGGGCTTTATCAGTAGTTATAAAACTTATGAAAATACAGTTAAAAGTCCAAAGTTTATGTCGGACCGTTGTGGAGGGCTGCATCAATAATCTGGACTTGATTCTGCTAAATGTTATTTTTATCTCTTTATAAACTTCTACTGATAAACAGGAGATGTTACACTTTCACTGGAAAATTGCCCAACCCTTCTCTAAACTTTATCCCCATCCCAAGGTCGGAATTTGTCTTTCTCTATCTGTTCAATGAGACGCCTACAAAACTAATGACACCGTCCACAGCTTCAGCTGAACCTTTTGTTTGGTGATAACTGGAACATATAAAGTAGGATGGAGATGATGAGCAGAATTAAATGAACAAAGCTCACAAGTAACAAACTTTCCAAGTCAGCTTTATTTTAAGTAGATTTTTGGTGACCAGGTAGACATAGCTGTTGATATATTTAAACTTATATAAAAAAAGAAAAGGCAAACTGTCACAAAATCAGGAAGATTGTGGGGATTAAACTTAAGGTCCTTTCCGAATCAGGTGTTTTTATGGATCGGGTTAAAACTCAACAAGTTTGTTCTCTATTTTTGTCTTTAATGTGTTGAAACTATGAGTGGTGCTCCTTGAAGCAGTATCTGTCAGAAACCAGCTATCTTCACTATCAGGCTCACTGCACACACCAACCCACAGCCGGTGAAACCAGCGCAGAACAGGATGGATTCAATCAAGCCTTTTTCTTTTTGATAGTCGAACCAATTTCCTCCATATCATCATTTCGAGAGGAATTACACATCTGTGCTTGTATTAAGTTATCTGGCTTGTTGGGTGAAATGAAAAAGACTGCAGCTCTGTTTGTGGATCAGTCCATGTTCTGGTATCTCTGGTGTCGATGTAGTGGAAGTGGTGAGGTAGGCTCACAGAGCAGATCCTCCTGTTCTTACTTTTTGGCAACAACCAGCACAGCTGAAGGCACCAAACCTGAACACACAGAACCAAAGCAAGTCTGATTTCAATTTGTGATTTTTTTTTTTAATCTTCACTAAATATTAAAATTATAACGTGATGATACCAAATCCAGGTTAAGCTAAGTGGCAGCCTAATGCTATCCCCAGCTCACCCAGCTCTTTGAGGGGCTTCTCCATATCCAGTTCAGTGTAGACGTGACGGGGGTAAGGTGACAGCAGCGTGAAGTCCTGACCCTCGGGCGTGTTGCCGTTCATCTGCACATAGACGCGCACTGCCGCCAGCGGCTCCTGGGCCTTGAAGACTGTTGTGATGGTCGAGCCGTCCAGCAGACGGACCTGTGAAGAAGCAGCAAAAATTAAAGTACATATTTTAAAGTTCAACGCAACACCAGTTTAGTGGATTCATTTTCATCTAAAGGCCTAAGCCCTGAAGCACACTCTGCTTATCATCCATTTTATTCTAAACACCCTGTTAGGCCTGAAGACTCTGTGCACATATTATATATGCATTTATCGAAACCTGTGACGTTCTGTTTCAAAGGGCACAGACTTCAAACTTTATTAACATACATGTAAAGTAAAATTTTAAAACCAAGTATGAATTAGGTACCTGTATCCTGGATTCATCATACTCCTTTTTAGTGGGTGGAGGGCCCTGACTGGTGGGTGAAGACGGACTGGGCTGGCCAGGCTGGGATGACGCAGCGGTGCTCGAGGGTGCAATACCTCCAAACTTCACAGAAAAAAAAAGTCCAAGTTGTTCTTGTTTCCACCAGAAGTGGAAGAATACAGAAATGGAAAATAAACTTGAAAAGTACCTTTTGTGCTCTTTCTTCTCTGTCTCTTGCTATCTTCTCTTTAACCCTTTGCCTGTTAGTAATAAAGATAAGCAACACAATGACTCAGCAACCAGAGTTAACAAAGGAACAAAGTTACTTAATCAAACACAAGTTAATCTTTATGAATGCGAACATTTTCCAATAGGTAAAGCAGAGATAAAAAATTTTCCTGGGTTATTTGTTACCTTTTTATAAAAAAACAAAACAATTGAATGTAACAAAAAGGGTTCATGGGAACAACTAATTACAGTGAAACGCTTAGCTTTTTTATAAATAAATCCACAGTATTTAGGCTTGCAATACATTGGAAAACATCACAAAAATCAACAGCACGACTGCTATCTGCTCTTTTGTGTGCCAGTGCTCAGCTGAAGTGACCACAGTAAGTTACTTGTGCATGTTTCTCACCAGACTGTCAGAAAATGATTCCACCGAGGGTGAAACAAGGGCTTGAAATCTGTTAGTGGTATCAGCTCACAGCCCAACACTGGGCAGCTTTATGACTTTTAACCAGAGAACACCCAAATTCTCTCCACAGATTAAAGAAGCTTCAAATTGAGAACATGTGTCAGACGTGAAAGAGTGTGGCAAACATTATGATCCCTGTAACATCACTGGGACCCTCATGTCATCCTTGCGTTGTCTGTTTCCAACAGTCTGGTCAGAAACATGCACAAGAATAGCCGTTTAAACTTGATTCTGTAGGGCTCTGGCTGTGCTCCTCCTCACACAAGCAGACACCAGATACCAGCCCTGTTGCTGTGCTGATGCTCTTCTACAGCCCATCCATCTGTCATGAGATTATGCTGGGAGACAATTATCGGGCAGAGTAACATTATACTATTTAAAAAGTAACAGAATGCCTTTTAGCCAAGCTAGTCCTGTATATGAGATGGTGGGATTTGCTAGTCTTGGGCCTGTAAGACTGAAAGTTTGTTTTTATGAGAATAAACATGTCAGATAGGGTTGGGCCATAACATACTGTTCACGGTAATACCGGTATAATGTTGGGCAACGATAAGAAAATGGAATATCGCGATAGAATATGGGTCAAACGCACATGCGCAGTGCCTTTGTTTTTATACGCACATGGCGGAAAAAGCATGGCGGCTACGGAGAATGAGAAGGTCAAAAGCGGATCATTGAATGAAACAGATGAACCAGAATTGGTTTGTAAAAATGCTGCAACTTCAGTGGTGTGGAACTGGTTTAGCTTTAGTCCGTCAGAGACACAACAAAGCACTATTTTTGGTAGAGTGTGCTAGCGGGCCGTCGTTATTACCGTGTTTTTTGGAAAATACAGCACACTTAAAATCAATCCTTTGATTTTTCTGAAAATTGACAGTCCCCCTTATAATCCCATGTGTCTTATGTATGAATTCTGGTTGTGTTTACTGACCTCGAAACGATTTTGTGTCGTACACGGCACTCGAAAAACCGGCAAAAGGTTTAAGAACAACTTGCCAAACCAAGAAACCCCAACCCCTGAAGGACCGGCCGAACACTAACGCCAACCGAAGCAAGAACCCCCCCGAAGGAAAACGAACGGGCCTCAAAAAAAAAATAACCGAATGGGGGGGGAAAAACCCCTTTTAAACTTTGGGGAAAATAAAAAAGGGTAAGCCGAAGAAAAGGCCGACAAATTCCAACGGAAAAGCCCTTTGGGTAAAACGGCAACAAAGAAATTGCAATTGCAACGGTAAAATTTTAAAAAAACTTAAAGCAAAAAAAAAAAAACCGCCTGGTTAAAGGAAAAAAAAATCAAATTTTTTTTTTTGCACTAATAAAGTTGTGGAGTTGTAAAGTATTTTGTCTAGTGTCAATTATATCATCAGTTATATCATTATTGCAAATTTTCAAATGTATATCATATAAATATTTTTGGTCACATCGCCCTGCTCTAATGTCAGACATTTGGGAGCGAAGCCAAAGAAGTGTCTTTTTGACTGAATGGTTATTAGACTCTATGTACTCTGGTATGCAATCCTTCTCCAAACCTAATTATCACGTTCTCTAACTGTATGCGTGTTGTTGAAAAACATACCTTGCCATTTTGTCCTCCATCTTCTCCCTCTGACGCTGCTCAGCGATTTTTTTCATTTCATCGTCCTGCAGTTTTTGGCGCATCTGCTGCAGCTCCTGGCCCTGCTTCCTCCGCTGCTTCTCCCTCTCCACCTCTTCTGCCCGCTCTCGCTCTCTTCTCTCCGCCTGCTTCACCCGCATCAGCTCCTCGAGCCTGAAAAACAGACACAGCTTAAATTACACACGTGCTTCTATATTCAATATGCACACTGCTAATCAGTAAAATGCACTTTGAGTATCCTCTGACCTCTTGACTTGCTCATTTTTCTCCTCTTCTGTCATTGGCCGTTTGACGCCATCCTCTGTCTCAATGTAGCCGATGTCTCCACCTGCTATTCCTGAAGCCGAAGCAAACAGGCAAGACAACGTGAAAACTTTGACAGCTTACTTCCGACTACTAACAAACACAAAACAAGACAAGAGGCCCATCTAAAATCAAATACCACAAACCTTAAAACAACACAGCAGTGCCCGTGAACCACAACGAAACACCACCAACGAAACATCAAGGAAGTGACTCAACCACTTGACACAACATTTTTGAGATAAAGAGCTAGATAAGATCGATTTACTGGGGGTGCATATCCTGTAACTGAATTTATCTGTATGCACGCGCACACATATATATATACATATATATATACACGATTGACTGGTATAGCTATCAAAGGCAAAATAGTGTAATTTTACCATTTCCTTTTGGATATACAGCACAGGTGCACACATTCAGTATGACCACACTTACTGCAAATGTGGCGGTCTGATTGGTCAGATCTATTTATTTGGATCCAAATCAAGTCAAAAAATATTTTTTAACACATGAAATATTCACACGGATTTTACACGTCCAGTGTGTAAAGTCCTTACGAGTAGATACATTTAGGTTGTCAAGTGGTATATTCAATCACACTGAAAATCTGTGGGTGACTTTTCTTTCCTGCCCCTTTAATGACATACCTTCAAAACTTTCCTGCCCCTCCTGACCTTCAGAGCTGTCTGCTGTGCTGGGCTGGCTCTGTGCTTCTCCTCCCAGGATGTTGCCCGCTGGCGGCACATAGGGCTCATCGATGTCTGGGTCATTTTCGTGTTCCATTAGCCTGAGGAGAGTGCGTAAGCAAAATGTATTACTTTCCAACAGCCACAAAGAGCTTTACAGAGGTCTAGATAACATTTTTAAACACCCTATTTCAAGTCAAAATGGACACACACAAACAATGTAAAAAAAACCCCACAAAATCTGAAAAGATTAGTTTTAAACTGCCTTTTAAAGAATACCACAAAGTCAAGGGTGCAAAGAGTGTGTGACAAGCTATTCCAAAGTTTTGGAATATTAGTTTTCAGGCGGGTATGAGGAACCACAAACAGGTCTAAGAACTTGGTTTGAAGAATAGGACTGGAGTAGTAGCAGGGAGACTATCTAGGAGGGGGCTGCACCCCATAAAGCCATAAAAGTGAGAACCAAGATTTTTAACTGAAAGCTAATCCTGACAGGAAGTCAGTGTGAAAGCTTTAAAAATATGGTGATATGAGAAAGTTTATAATGAGTTAAAAGCCTCACAGTAGCATCTTGCACAGATTAGATGCGATTAATAAATGTTTCAGTCCGACAAGAAAACAGTCCAATCCAAGTGAGAGGAGATGAAGGCACACACAAGCATTTCTAATTCACTTTTTGAGACAACACTACAAAGTTAATCAATATTTCTTAAACTGAAAAAACAACAGTCACTTATCCGATCACCACAATCATGTTTACATTGGGAAATGAAAACCACTGGATAGTTTTATGAGGGAAACTGGCGTGTGGAGCTGGACTGTGGCACCAAGTTAAGTGATGACAGAGGGAAAATGTTAATGTGGGAGGTTTCAAAGTACCGTAGTGTGTTGTTATTCTGAGTGTTAAACTCACCAATCCATGGCTTGCTCAATTCCCTGGTTCCCTGTGTTGGCCACTGCCTTCTCTCTAAAGACAGATTATGATAATATGATAGATAATGTAGACACAGTTTCATTTCCTTGAAATCAGCTTCAAACCTGAAATCCAAATAAACCAATAAAAAATGTGTGCATCAGGGATCACTCACGCTCTGTTTCGATCAAACCCCATCTCCAGCAGACTCTCGAGTGTTGTTAGCTCTGCCATTTTGACCTGAAACAATACAGGAACGTTAACGAGGAGTTCATCGTCTAACGTACTGGTACAATGCTTTCATTTGATGATGAAAAGAACCCAAAGGACTTCTAACCAAACTAAAGTTAGTGCAAGAGCTCATGACTTTATTTTAGCTGACTAAAGCAGCTACACTGACCACTATTGTCCGAATATAACACTGCGTGAATATAAATAAACGATTCCTTTACTAGCAGCTTACCAAAACACAAATTTATTCCCGCTACACATATGCAGTTATTTGATATAATAAATACCATCGTGATGAGAGCTAAAATTAGCTTTAATGTGGCTAACGTTCAAATTGCGAAAGCTAACTGGGAAGCCTCGCTGGCTAGCACGATTAGAAACAACTAGGAACTCCAATAAGCTCTTCATCACTTGTGCCGTTAATGTTAGTTTGTATACTTGAGCTAAATGCAAACTGACGTGCCAGTTTATTTATGTACGGAGGAAATATGAGCTAATATACCCAGTGAAGGTAGGGATAGTTAGCTACTCACACATCGGACAACACCGCTTCACCAGTAAGGAAGCCCACACGAGTCAAAAAGAACAACGCGAAATTCACGCTTATTAGAAAGAACGATTTTTGAAGTCTTAAGATTTGTTTAAAAAAACAAACAACATACAGATCCTCCACTTACTGGGGACACTTTGACGACGCTATCTTCACGTTTATACACCTTGAGCTTCTACTGAGTTATACTTCAAATGAATGAATAAGCTTCCCTAACATGCAAATAATGAACAGTAACACGTAAGCTACTGCAGGGTTCACCTGACCCCATCTATTCGTCACCTCTACGACAGCATATCAATACCGGGGTACTAAAACGATGTCAAATGATAAACAATGCAAAATATCTACAGGAACTAAATCAAATATCTTTTTTAAGGAAAAAAACATTCTTACACCAGTTGCTTTAAATCACTGGTGAAATAGTATAGATTGGTGAAAGTAGTGCCCTAGGTCAGAGTGTAGAAATACTCTGTTCGAAGCAGGATTTTAATTCTACTATTATTACTGATGTGGCCTGAGTAGGATAAAGTATATAAATCAAGGTGTTTACCTCTGAAATAAAGATTAAGTGAATATTAAATCATTACTTCACTACGTCTATTTATGGTTTTAAAGAATATAATTTGGTGTGAAATAGGGTGTTAAACCAAATTCCCGTCAAAGTCAGTGAGATCAGGAAACACATTGAGTGTGTTACTGGTTTAGATGTGCTATTTAAGAACTATTTATAAATGCATCTAACTGGCTTGGAGGAAGACGAAGAGGCTCTACCTTTGTAACTCATTTACAATTATTGTTCTCACACTTTGACCAAAGATACATGCAGGAATGAACTGTTTGCAGGAATCACTCACTTTGAGCTTGAGCCAAATGCACTTTACAAATTTGTTTCAGGCAAACATTCTTTGTCTTCAAAAGTCATCTTCAAAACAACACCGTAAAGTAACACTGTTAATAGAAACGCCTTCAAATCTGGGTCATTTTTAAACGGTTTGTGTTTTGGGGGATACATAAGGTCTTATTATTGTCTATAATTTACAAATCGTTTGAAAAAAAAAACATATATCATCTTGCAGTCACTTCAAAAGTCCAGTCCAGATTTGGATTTGATAGATATCCAAGACCAGAATAAACAGTACAACTTGATGGAGTTGGCCCAGATTTTGACTATTCATCAATCATTTCTTTAAAGTAATCTCATAATGTTCTTTCCATTTAGATATTTAATCAGGTGATTTTATTAAACCGCGCCCCAGTAAGAGTGAGTGAGAGAGAGAGAGAGTGAAATGTGTCAGCAGAGGAATTATGTCCACTGATGATTAGGGGTGGGGGAGGCCTGATGAGAAGGTCGGATGATCTTATTGGCTGCTCTGCTGCATGTATGATTTCATCTCATCTGCGTGTCTCCGTGGGTGTTCAAACACAATGCAATTTGCTGACTTTTATGTGCAGGTTGGGTTTGTTACATATTTACAGTAAGTGTAATGATTAATTTTTCTCTCCCCCACGTAGTCTTAAGCAGCCCTCATTCACGAGCCTACCATTACTCAGAGACTCCGCTCACTGCTGGGTGTCTTTTTTGTAAAAACGCTCTTATTTACTATTTATTCGTTTGTCTTTTTCCCCCCTCACACTTATATTTTGTTCTTTTTTTATCTGGGTTTTACTTGTCTTGTGTTTTCCTTTTACAATTAATAACTGAAGAAGCTTTGCCTGCAGCTTTTACTGGGTAAGTATTAACTTTTCTTTTACATTCTAGAAAGCAAACTAACTCAAGAGATTAACAAGACCAGTTTATTTCACCATGCATCTAATCTACTTGCACACTGCAGGACAAACCCTGTAATATGTAGTTGTATATATGTTAAAATGAGAACAGTTGATCACAGAGGATCTTTTAAGGAAATTAGATGATTCATTTATAATGAATTCAAGTGACTTCAAAAGCAAACACGTTCTGTGTGAACATGTGTGTAATTTACAAAGATGTTTGGTGTCATTTCGGTAACAAAGACGATATTGTACCTATTCAGATAAAAATGATTATAGTATGAATACATTTCAGTTTCCGCAGGTTCTAACTCTGAGGTGATAAGCGTGAGGATTTTCCCAGCATTAAAAATGTTGGTTTAATATGTGGTATTTGATTTCCTGACGTCACCTTTCTCTGTCCAGACCGAGTTCATTCTAGTTTCCGTGCTCGGCCTCATGGTGCACATTATCTGAAGACGCTAATGACCCTTCATAATGGAATTATCTGTTAACAATAGCAATAGCAGGGCGGCCAAAGTCGAAGGAGACAATGGGGTGAAGTTCTCTCCAGGCTGCCCTTATATTGCTTTATGGTTCTCTGAGGCTTTTTTCTTCTTTTTACAGAAGGAGAGGATTAAAGGTCAAATTTCACCGAGGATATTCAGTGAGATTCTGGGAAGAAGATGAGCTACACACAAGAAAATGATGCTCGCTCCTGTTTACCACTTGTGTTAAAGATCCTTTCAACACCTAATATAAAAAGAAATAGCACAATAGATCTATTTATTTTTTACTAGGGTTACTGGAACCATTGTTAACTTCTAGGAGCACGTGTTCTTGGAGGGAATGAGCCTGATTTTTATTGGCGTCAGAAGGGACACATGTAATCTTAGAGGCAGTAAAAGCCAAGATTAGAAGATAAAATAGTGGATGATACTAAGTCTTTATTGGGTGTGGGTGGTATTGTGACATGAAAGCTGAAGTATCATGTGTAATAAAATGATTCAAGTTCATGTAGTCAGAAACAGATGACCAAAAGAGGGCAGCATTAATTCATATGATTTAAAAGTGGACCATGATGCTGCCGCCCCCTTCCAGTTTGCAGCACTCTGAAATGCTTGTCTGGCTGATCAAGAGTACGAACAATACAGACTGTAGTGGTAGCCCCACAAAAATAGGAAAGCCCAGAGGAGTTGTTTAAGGTAAGTTTTGGTTATATTCAGTTTTGCCAACTGAATATACGACAGGAAAAACACTTAAATAGAAGATGCCAGCAGAATGAGTGTACATCCAATGCCGTGGTCTGGCTTGGTGCTCTCAGCTGTGTTTTTCTCTGGGTCTCACCAGCTGTAACAGCATCTCCATATGGAAAAACTGTGGCTTCCAGTGGAGCTGCTGTTATCTGTGGAGGGACACCTCTTGTCATGCAAACACTGCTGGGACTCTCTGTAGCTCATGAACGGCAACACTTTCAGTTTCTTCTTTCTCTGTTTAGTTTAATTTCCATGGTGATTTATGTGAAGGCTGCAATAAATTAAACAATTCTTGTGAATTCAGTTGAAGTTTCTGTTTCTTTATAGCCCCTTTTCACGAATAAAACACAAAGATTGAGATTTGTATGGCATGGGTTTATGTAGCTTTCTGAAATGAAAACCAAAAGTAAAAGTGAATACAAGAGCATCATTTGTAGTAAATGGTCAGAAGGATATGGGACTTTCCCTGACATCAGTCAGCGATGGTGATAGACTCAAAGGTCCCTTACAAAAAAAATGACCTTTTGGGGGTTCTTCCTGTAAATCCTGTAAGTGTTTACAGGAAGATATCGTAACAAGATCTTTTTCAGCTCAACAAACTGAAAACAGAGTAAAAAAATACTCACCACTCAGCCTGAGAACACAATCATCATGAGTGCTAACAAAGAAGCTGTCTTTGTTTTGTAATGAAAAGTCAAACCAAAACTAAATCACTGTTTGCAATTTGATGTAGTCATTTCAAATTAAAAGTAACGCTAGTTCCACTACAAACACTGCACATAAACACAATATAGTGAATATTAATTCATAGTGAATGTTATTAGAAGCTTCACGGGTTCATACATATGAACAAATGAATGAATACATGCTTTCATCAAAGTTTTCATATGGGTTGTTGTTCATAACAGTAACACATTTAGCATAATACACTTTCCTAGTGGCATCCGGACACTAAGATGTTTAGCGTAGTAAAACAATATTAGAGAATAGAGAGATCGTCTGGTGACACTGCAGTTATAAGCATTTGGATTTCACCCAGTATTGCTAAGCCTCAGGGTCGCCTCCTGTTTAAGGACAGTTCTTTAAACTCTCTCAGGCTAATTGCATGCTCCTAGTATGGATTATTGGGTATTTGACATTTTCTTTATGTAAAACCTGTCTGTTGTGGCTGTTACTGTGAAGGGGGACTGTATACTTTAAAAAGTTGTGATAGAGCCATATCCTAGACTGTGGCACTAGCGCTCTTGCCTGTATACAGGAGGATGTGGGACTCCCTGTTTGTTTTGCCTGTGGAGATGACTTTGTTGCACCCTTAAGAAGTGAAATGTCTGTGAAGGTTATCAGTCATCCAGGTCATCGTAGTTCTGCCTGCCTTAAGAAGTGAAAGCGTTTCTTGAGAAGACATGACTCTATTCTTAAAAAATTGGTGGGGGTCTTTTGTGTTTTTTTGGAAATATGGGACTTTTTCATGTCTGAGATTTGTGCTATTTGATTTTGGATTTTGGATTCATATTTCAATACACAATGCACTAAAACCTGTTCTATGTTCTCATCTGTCCCATTGTTTTTGCCACTTGTCCTTTATTTTCTGCCTTATTATGCCCCGATTAATTCAGCGTATATGGCTTTCAAGGAAGTTCTGCCTGTTCCCCTGTCACTTTTAACTAAGCACCTCATTATATTTAACACATTTTTGCATTTATCCACCATCTTTTGAATATGTGCATCCCATGTCATCCTTTCATCACACTAAAACCCACAAAACTCAAATTGTTTTACCCTTTCCAACTCTTACCCATATAGTGTGAGCTTAATTTCATGCCTTTCCTAATGCTTTTCCTTGTAAAAAACATTGTCTTAGTCTTATCAAACGAATATTTAAACCCCCCAATTATGCGATCACTTTTCCACTTCTGCTCCCCGTAGCGTCAGTATAATAAATTTTAAATTTCTTCCTCTTCTCCACATTCCCCCATTATCTGCAAAAAGTGACAACCCGATTCCACCCTCTACATCCTTAAATAAATAATTTAGCAACATTAAAAACATAGTCTACTCACAATGCTCCTTTGTGGCGTTCAATTTTCTGCTAAACCCTCCCCTCCGATACTTTTATTTGTCTGTCTGTTAAGAAATCCTTAATCCATCGGAACATTCTACTATTTATATCCATTTCCCTAATATTAATTAGTAGACATTCCCTCCACATTCATATGATATGCTTTTTCTATATATTGAAATAACTGCCACTACACTCTCATTGTTTATTTGTTTACGTTTTTGTTTGGATTTTTTCCTCATTAATAATAACTGAAACATTTAACCAAGACAAATATACAAAAAACCCCTGGAAATCAGGCAGGTGGTAAGCGCGTTTTCACACAACTGTATGTGTATGAACTTTTCATGCAGAGGCTTCACAGGTTCATATATATATGAACAAATGAATGAATACATGCTTTCATCAAAGTTTTCATATGGGTTATGAAGAACAGAGGCTTTTATTGTGAAATACAGACTGTAGCGGTAGTCCCCGCAAAAAAAAAAAAAACTGTTTCCGGAATAAGTCCTCTTCGGCGGTTCACCAACTGTCAGCAGGTGGCTAGTCGGCTGGCAAGCCAATAAACAGTTTTGCTGTCTGACATTTAAGCAGCAATTGACTGCATCTATCTGACCGCAGCTTAGTGTTTATGGTGGCGTGTCGTGTCACGTCACGTCAGATAACGTCCAGTGAAAAAGGAGTCCTCCTTGAATGACTGACTTCGCAGTTGCGTGGCTAGCTAGCAAAGAGGAGGGTGGGGACAAAAACTTCAGCCTCGCCCAGTCCGTAGCTTTATACCAGCAGGCAGCTACTCTCTCGGCGGTGTGAGCACCCACACCTCTAAATTCGATACTTATTAAAGGGGAGACTGAAACCGTCGTGTCAAGTAGGCGAAAAGAAGCAACCATGTTCAGGAAAAACTTGAAGAAGGATCCCGAGCTGTTTCAGAACGTGTCGGAGGGACTGCGGCGGCTTTACCGGACCAAACTGTTCCCGCTAGAGGACACGTATCGATTCCACGACTTCCACTCCCCAGCCCTCGAAGATGCCGACTTTGATAACAAGCCCATGGTTCTCCTGGTCGGCCAGTACTCCACCGGGAAGACCACATTTATCCGGCACCTCATGGAGCAGGACTTCCCCGGTATGCGGATTGGCCCGGAGCCGACAACAGACTCTTTCATCGCGGTGATGCACGGGGAACAGGACGGGGTGATACCGGGTAATGCCCTGGTTGTCGATCCCAAGAAGCCCTTCCGCAAGCTCAACGCCTTTGGCAACGCATTTCTCAACAGGTAAAGCCAGTGAGCAGGACTCCACTCTATCAAAGAGGATATGAAAAATTATATGACTCCCACCACTACCTCCACCTCCCAGGGTTTTTCATTACTCTGTGAATGAAATGAATGGGGCTGACTCGAATTCTCACTTTAGTGCTGTTGTGTGTTGAGAAACTGTCATAATAACACAGCAGCCCTGATTTTAAATGCACTCCTACATGTTCTTACATGTACGACACGTTTCAAGGTACATTCTCACATTATGCTGTTGCACAATCTTTTAAAATGAGCCGAGACTGTGAGGGTTTTACCTCTTTCATCATCTTAAAAGAATGCTGGTGTTTTGTGTCAATAGATGACAGATGTAGCTTGTATATAAAGCAGAGGGTTGGAAGGTGCTTTCCAACACCTTTTCCCACTAGCCTTTCCCTTTCGCTTTGTACCATATGCTACCAATCAAATGATCTTCTTCGCCACCTGGCAGAGTCACTCTTGGCTGACCATTTTCTCCTAGTGTGGCCTCTTGAACTTAGAAATAGTTGAAGGTTATATTGCTAGGGAGCATGCCGACCTTGTCCTGTCCTCAGCTCATGAAGCCATAACTTTCATGTCCTATGGCATGGTAAACCAACTCCCTCATCCGCTACCTGTGACCTTTTATAGTCCTATCACAAAGGATTAAAGGCGTGGTTATCGATTTTGACTATTGTAACATACTTTTTGGCACTACTAGACTGGCTTATGTGGAGTTGGTCAATTCTAGTCCATGATCCAGATAACGAAGAGATTATGGGGAAACCTCCACAGCCACTCCCAAAGCATTATTAATTACTTTTATATTTGTTACTCAGCTCATGTCCTAATCCAACAAAAATGTCCCCCAGCAAACACTCAGATGACTCAGAAGTATTCCCCTTGTGGGTCTTTTACCAGTTAATGCAATTTAATTATGACAAGAATGCAGAAATAATCAAAAACAGCAGAATAAAATTAAATAAATGGCATAGAAAACTGATTCTAGGGTATTCTTTCAAACCCAGAGAGTGCCAAGGGCAGCTCAATCTTTGAGTGTTTCATTGAGTAAATGCTCCTCCCAGCTCAGAGTGCAAGTGAAACTGCACAAGCAATGTGCAGTGAGCCAGAGCCAGTGTGACATTTCTTAAAACAGTCTCCTAGGTGCTGGGGGGCAGAATTTGACATCATATGTCAAACATCTGATTGCTGATTATGTCATTTCCTGTAGAGGATGTAGGTATGCCCCCCTTCTCTGCCTGAGTCGCACCCTGAGTGGGATTAACAAATAATGCACAACTGAAAAACTCTGGGACAGTCATAATACTTGTTCTGTTATTAGTTTCAGGGTATTATGTGGGTGTAGGTAGGGTAGCGCAAACACTCAACTTGACACTTCCCTAGCTGGACTAATTTCCCATTATCTCATGACAGCCCTTCCTTTATTATTGTAGAGTGTTTGGTTTATCTCGCATGAGTGTCAAACCTTTGCCAAGTGTCATCACTCAAACTTGAAAATGTGAAGTAAGAATAGAGGACTCTAAGACTTCATTGGTCACTATGGCTTTATTACTGACTTGAAGGGAAGACAGATAAGATCTGAACAAAAGCTATTGTCCGTTGTAGCATCATTTGCCAAACTGCTGGAAACAGTCCCGCGGTATTGTGGGACTTGTGGTAGTCTTTCACTTCAGTGTGCATCTCTGTCTCAGAAGCATACGCAGACATGAGCGGGCATATGCTGGTTTAGAGCTCACATGATCACACACAACAGGATATGTGGGTAAGACAATAGCAGGTGTATGAACTGTTTAAACAGCTCACGTGGCATTTAGCCAAGAAGTGGCCTGCAAGTTGATGAATTGATTAAAATTTTCCACAAAGAACTGGATGTAGATAAACATTTAGAACCAGGCTGACTTCTGAACCATACTTCTGAGGCCAGTTTTCCATTTTCCTCTCAGGAAGTCAAAGAATTTAGCCTGGTCTTCAGCTAGGTAGGTAATATCAAGGGTCACATTGGTAATTGACTGAATGAGACTGTCAGGGCAGCTTCTCTTAATAGCTCTTAACTATAGTCATTCAAACTTCAGATTAGCCTTTAAATACCAGGCTCTCGGTATAAGCAGTTATTTATGAAGTGAGTAAACAGAAATCAGTCATGTGATCCTCAAATGCAGAGCTTTCTCTTGGGTTTTCTAAGCCCAAAATAGTAGGTAGCTTCCCAATTTTGGTGGTTTAAAAAAAAAAAAAATATTGAATTGTGGTTGACCTTTCATTGTTTGTGCAGTGATACTGTTCTGAGTGTTTCCACAAAAGTAACCCAGTTTCTTTTACACCTAGATGAGCATGCAAATGTTTTAGCTCTTCTTCCCCTTTTATGTTTAATTCAACTGCAGCCAGAGCCCCTCAGTGTATGTCAGTGCTTTCTGTAAATGTTTAGTCAGTAAAATCGGAGTCAGCAGAGCTCAAGTTCCGCACTGGCCCACCCCGGCCCACATTATCCTGCTCCGTCCTGTACTCCTCCAGGGTGCTGACTCTGCACTTTGTTGTGATAGCGGCTGACACACGTACACTCTTATACAGAGGTTAGCATGAAGACCTGTGTAGGTATGTGTGTAGTAAAATGATTGATTCACCCACACGAGGCAAGACTTCACAGGAAGAAGGAAAAGTCACACAGTTGTAACCTGCTGTTTGCATCTCCAGCAGTAATGACAGATACCCCGTTTCCTCTTCACTCAGGGAAGTTGAGGTTACGACGTGAGGGAAGGTCATAGGTCAGGAGGTCATTAGCTGGAGCCAGATTTGCTATCACAGCATAGGCTTGATGTCTTTTACACTGTGGTGCGTTTCCCACTTTCTGAAGATATAGTGAAAAACTGAAGGATCTTTGATATGCTCATGCACCGTCCCCCCTCGTCCCCTTGGGCCCTCCGTTTCAAAGAATTCCAGCTCAAGTTCATTGGAACATTTTTTTTTCCTGCTAGCTCTATGTGGAAAAATGTTTGGATAGATGGCTGAAATGGAAAAGCTCAGCCAAAATTCCTATTGGGAATCACATGCCATCAGCTTTAAGAGCGAGAGAGTGAAAAACCTGCACGTTTGTTATCTTTTTGTAGTTTATTATTGTAACATTAATACACAGGGCCTCTATGCAGGAAGCCCTATTCTTATATTTCTTTAAGTTGCTCTTTGTGGATTTTTCCTTTCCCCGCTTTGTTAGGGTTTTCTCGTGTGTGCGTGCGTTCTCAGCGCGGTCACAGCAGGAATGTAAAAGCACGATTTCTTTTTTTTTTTCTTTTTTTTCTCCCCCAGTCTTATGACCTGCTGCTTCTGAGCTCATGTTGTGAGTATCAGTTCAGTTTGACTGAAAGGGCAACAGAGTGTGAGAAGTAGTACTCCTGACTGTGTGGTGTCTTAACAATCCCCTTCTTTGTCCTGAGTGGGACAATGGGGCTGTATGCAAAAGCAGTCATCTACTTTCATTCTTATATCTGTCTGTGTTTGAATTTCTTGGCTTCATTTCTGTTTAAGGGCTCACACTCGGCTTTAAAATTTAAACCCCAGTGTCCCAGCTTGATGAGAGTATTGTAAAGTGAATTATGCCGCACTGGGAATGACTAAGGCATATAATTTATGGCTTATCATGTATTGTTCATATGTTTCCCTTATTAAATATTCTTACCTCAGTGCTGACCTAAAAGCATGGCTGTCACGCCGTTTGGAAAATCTGACTGTATAATTATGTAGCCTCACTGTTGTTGAGGGCAAAACATCCAAACTAGAGCTGAAATAATTAATCAGCTTGTTGAACGACAAAAAGAAATTACTGCTTTGATAAGCCATTATTGATAATAAGCAAGTCTTTAAGCAAAAAATGTCACACGTCCATTCATTTCATCTTAAAAATATTGAATCAAGTGTGTTAAAAGCAGCAGTTGGTAGCAGTCTTTTACAATAACCACACACTTTATAAACCAAATGATTAGTTGAACATTAAAGGGCAGATGTAGAATAACTGTTAACTTCAGAAATGTACATTTTTAGTTTACCTTAAGGCATCAAGGATTTGTAAAATGAGATTGTAGCTGTCCTCTAAACCCCAGCTTTGTCCTGTTAACCGACTCCTATTTTATATTAGTTTCAGGTTTCTTCCAACAAGAAAGAACATTATTTTATGCTTGAGATATTGTTGCTACAAAGTTCAAGATTAATGTCTGTTTAATAGGAGGTCTATGTAAGCATTCTCACCTAACCAGTTTTGTATCCCTCTCTCCTTTTACACCCCTCTGCCTGTTATTCTTGATCCAATCTCTCCCTCTCTCTTTCATAATGCTCTTTCACTTTCTTTTTCTCCCCTCTCTCTGTGCTCTGTCTCTCTCACCCCCTCCCCCCCCTCTCTACCTCCTTGGCAGGTTCATGTGTGCCCAGATGCCTAACCCTGTCCTGGAGAGCATCAGCATCATTGATACTCCTGGAATCCTGTCAGGGGAGAAGCAGAGGATAAGCAGAGGTCTGCCTCACATACATCCAGTTTTCCCACCTTTCACATACGCCTTGTTTCATGTTCTTAAAACTCTACCACACCACACCCACTGCTCAGAACCCAGAAACAAGCGCAATCAGAAAGCATTGCATGTATGCAAAATAAAACCACAGGAAGTGACAACTTCACTTCTGAAAAAGAAATGTTGAAACAACAAACATACCCTCCTTTCCCCAAGCCTGTTTCTGTTTAGCAAATCCACTGCCAATTTACTGCAGCAGTTTGGCTCACTGTGTTGTCAAACCTGTATTTAGCTCCTTTAACACCTCTAGGTCAATGCCTAACCAAACAGGTTACATAAATCTGATGGAGACCTCAACAGCATGACAGTGCCAAGAGGCCACATAGCACTTTTCATTCTCTGTAGGTCTTCAGGGCCTTTAAAGAAATTGTCTGAAAGGGAGAGGAGCTAAAACAGAGCTGAGGCCCAAGACCAAGGCCCGGTATAAGATAAATAAGGACTATTTTAAGCAAAGCTCCAGGAATAAAAAGATATAGTAGGGAATAATTATACTAGATGGCATTTAAATCCTTCTTGTTTTCTAATCAGACCTAAAAAGGTATGAAAAATTGCCTCCTGCATTACCATTCTTCCTATTTTTATTTGCTTTATTACTACTTTTTAAACTTGAGTTACCTTTTCTGTTTCCTATGTACTATTTATCACTACAGATCTGAATCATTTCCCTGTACTCTGTGGAAATAGATCAATTTATATTTTTATCTGCATGCTTCAGCAATGCTTCGACCTGCAGGGTCATTTCAGAATTGCCACATACGCACTTTTCTTATAACTTTTGATGATCTTACAAACAAAACATAGCCTCTTCTTTTTTTTTCTCCCCACCTGCTCTGTGTGTTTGAGAGGAAGCACAGGTTTTCTGTACAACCCAGAGACAGGAAGTGGAGTAAAATAGCAGAGTTTCCCAAGACTGCCCTCCCCTTATCCACTACCGCCTGTGTTTGGCAGCTTCTTTACAGGCTGCTCTTTATCGCAGTTGTTTCCTGTGAGGCACTATATGAAGAAATGGGGGGGAAAAAGAAGACTATTAAGCTAAATAAAGAAAAACTGATTATGTAATTAGCCTGTAGAAAGAGAAAGGCCAGAGAAACTGACAAGGCCAGACAAGCGACTGTAGACGTAGAAACGGATGTGCACATCTGAGTATGAATAAAGAGATTTGGCACACGGAAAAGTGACCCTGACTAAAGACACGAGGACGCTAAATCTGATGTTTCATACCTTAAACAGCTGTATACATACAGCACATACTCCTACATTCTTGCTGTCAAAGAAACTGTCCTCCGCATACACACTGTCTTACAGACATTATCCTCTCCTCTGTTTCTGTATAAACATGAATACAATACGGTACTGCAGACATACTGTACCAACTGTGTCATATATAAACACAACTGATTGGATTGTGCTGCTCAACTTTGACGGTCATGTGTGCCTCACCCAGAATAATGGCAGATCTGTTTTGTACCAGGCCTACAGGAAGCTACGATATTATTTCAGGTTTCCACAGATTGCTACGTCTCTAGTTTTTAGCGTAGATCCGCATTGCACAATTTCAAATGTGCAGGCTGTTTACATAACTTCACAATTACAAAAGTTTTCAGGAAAAAAATCAGGAAACGTGAAATTGATTTAAGTATATGGTGCTTTTTTTATTGCATAACACTTGGACTGTGTTTATTTTTGATTAGGTCAGCATGTGTGGTTCAGTGCTTGTTCCTTAGTAAACTATGAAGTGGCAAAAGCTATAGTAAAACTGGAACTAGGTGGTGTGTTTTCCGACAAGCAGTGCTGATGAATTGACAATGATATTTTAATGCTATTTAGCAAAATTAGAGGGGACTTGTTGCCCTTTTTTCTGTCATGTATGCGCTCCTACATTGGTGGGAGCTCCTGTTAAACATAGCAAAGGACTGAAACAGTCAGCAAGAAGTGCAAGTAAGATTATACAAGACTGTGCAATGAAAAGTAATCCCTGTATGGCAAAATCTCAGGCAGTGTTTTTTTTTTTCTTTCTCTGCTCTTGGCTCTTTATATTGCCACAGAGAGGGGATGTTCCTACTGTGGTCACCTCAGACACCAGTCTCCTTCTGTGAGCATAAAATCCCCACCCACCTGCTGTACAAACCTTTGCAAGGCAGCCAGTCAGAAGAGGGATGTCTTAAAGAGAGAGAGTAAAAACAGATTGTTTCAGGCAATGGATGAACTGGGGGCTTGCACCAAAGACCTGCATAAATAAACTAAACTGTGACTCGTGCAAAACTCTACTAGAGTCTAAGAATAAACATCTGGAGCTGGAAGTGAGCATAATAGGTCCACGTAAGCAGATTGTAAATACATTTTTTTTTTAAAAAGGCTGAGTCTGCCACTATTAAGAGATAAAAAAATAACACTTAAGGATTATTGTGAAGAAGGGATATCACTTTCTGGAAATATGTCCTTGCTGTGAAGTAAATGTGCAGCAAACAGATGTTTAAAGCTGGTTGTTTCTGTTGGCCTATTGTTTAACAGACCTTGGCATATCGCACAACTTTATGCTAAGTCCTATCTGTTGTTTTATAGTTGCTGTGCTGTGATATGGAATTCTGTTTCTCGAATTCCAAACTAGTCCTTCGACTTTCCCAGAATTCTGAATGAAAATATGCTCAGGGTTTTTTCCAATCATCTGCTCTCTGTCTAAGAGGCACATGATTTTGAAGCCATGAAGTCATGAGTGCATGGCTTTATCCCTTCATGTCTGTGTGAATAGTACAGACACAGCAGTTGTTAATGCTATGTGTTCCAAGTCAGCCTTGAGCAGCTGCCTCTCCGATTCCCTGACATGTGCGTTTAAAAACAGACTTAAGATGGAATGAACAAATATCCTCATCTGGCTCCCACTGGGATCCTTAACTGCAAGCAGTCCCCCTTTATGCCCCTTTACTTTCACATGTTACAAGCATGAACTAATATTCCAGTATCCATCTGCTATATTCATCCAGACCTTGTCATTTTACTTTCACTTTTACTCTCTGTGTTCCCTCTTTATTCTCTTTTTATCTCCATGTCTCCCTCTTCGTGTCTCCATCACAGAGTTGCTCTTTTGACCGTATCTCTCCGTTGCTCTTTTGTATACATGTATTTGGACAGGGACAAAAGCCAGCCATGTTGGAATGCATGAGCTGCAGATCTGCCGTCAATTGTGCAGCTGCTGCGATGAGCTTTTAGAGCGACTGTCTCATTGGCTCAGAAAAGAATGCACACACTAATGAAAACCACTGCTCTCTTCGCTCCTACCTCCTCAAGTCCTTGAGGCAAATGAAAACTTAGGGGGGAAAAAGCCAATTTATGCAATCTGACTCTGCCCCGAGTTTCTCAAATAACCAAAGGAAGTGAATAGTACAGTAAGTTTCTGTGCTCAGGCGGCTATAGAAGTGTGTGTAGTGCACATTCTGGTCAAGCTATTCACTTTTTTTATTTATTTTATATTTTTTAAAGATGTTACAGTGTATAGCATTTTCAGTTTAACACCTTATATCAAGTATGTGTCTTCCTGCTTTCTGTTGATCTTTCGTTGCTTGGTTTCTCTAAGGCACGTTGCAGAATCTGCTGTGTCCAGAGGTCATTTTATTCCTGAGGCTAAAACCTCCAAAGAAAAAAGCTTTTAGCCAGTTCCACAGGAATCACCCACCCTTCAATGTTGCAACACAATTTTCAAAATGTTTTTTTGTTACATTGATGGTTCAATTGTTTGTTTTTAAAGGGTCAGAAGTACTAGGTTATGTCAGACAAAGTAACAGGCTCTGCATTGTCAACCTCCCACGGCCTGCTGCAGGCCAGAAAAAAAACATGTCATGCTTCAGATTATCCAGAGGGACTGTGGTTTAAACTTACCTTTATACCACTCTCTCTCTGTCTCAGTAAAGCAGTAAAGCCAGTTAATCAGTAATCAGAGGAAAAAGACCTGCCTCTTGAAATCCCTTATCTAAACATTACCTGGAATATAAATATGTGTAGAGTCCAAAACTAAACTTCTTTAAAGATGCAAGTTATTGGAGTTTCTTTCAGGTCAGATGGCTGCCACACCGTTGCACTTGATGTGCTCAAGTAGAATATGAACAAACATTGGAAGATAATAGTGCACACTGATACCCAGGACAATGTAGCCTGCTATGTGTGTCACTGTGAGCTTATCTAGTCATGACAGTTCTTTATCACTCCCCATATGTTAACAGCATGACACTATAATAATTCGTAATATGGCTGAATTTAACATGTACTGTCTTGTTTTTGTTTTAATGGCAATGCATCATCTGTTTGGGGAAACTTGATTTCAAGCAGCATACACACCTACCTAAGTTTTAATGTTGTTCAGACCTTATTGTAGACAAAAGGTTTAGAGCTGGGGAAAACAGTCCAGTTAAGAAACCCAGTAATGCGACATTTAATATATTTAAAGATGTTTCAAAAAGCTTTTCTTTACTCTCTCCAGGGTACGACTTTGCCGCTGTGCTCGAGTGGTTCGCTGAACGCGTGGATCGCATCATCCTCCTGTTTGATGCCCACAAGCTGGATATCTCTGATGAGTTCTCCGAGGTGATCCGCGCACTCAAGAACCACGAGGACAAAATGCGCGTGGTACTCAACAAGGCAGACCAGATCAGCACCCAGCAGCTGATGAGGGTCTATGGAGCGCTGATGTGGTCTTTGGGTAAAATCATCAACACACCTGAGGTGGGAAGGAGGGAAAAAAAGCCCTTTTGTTGTTTTTGCTTTTTTTGTTGTTGTTTTTTACAATTCTGTTTTTGACTGAAGATTTGTAACGCTGTGAGAATTATTTCACTCTAGCCTGGTAGTAATCAAGTGTTAGACACATGTGGAGCAAACAAAGGATGTTACTGTTTCAGAGTGAAAGCCAAGCTCCCGGCGAAGGCTGGATAGCTTTTCCAACGTTATCAAGTTCTCACTTTACCAAGGAACTTAAGAAAAAAAACACCTTAATGAAAGTGAAACGCGGATAAAATACCATCCATGTCAAATCCCATGTCCTAGCTGATATCACGTGACATAAGCACTTGTGATTTTTCCACCTGAATACTGAGTTAATGTTTGATCCAGAGCCATATTCATAAAGTGATCCCAGGGAAACCTTTGGAGCATGCAGATAATTACTCATTGACTTTGATCTGTAGTTCATATCCTGTTTGAACGATTAACACTACAAATCAGTCACATTTTTAAAAAAAATGTACTCTTGATTAACTCAGTCATACCCTCTTTTCTTGTTTTTATTGTGTTGGACTATATAAATGTTTTACTTCTGTTTATAAATCCATGAGAACAATGTCACATATGTGGCATGTGAGAGAATTTCTTGCCGTGGGTTTGAGCTGTAAAGTGTAACCTGATGGAGATGAATGGATATTAACTTGGAAAACCTTTATTCTAGGTGGTGCGTGTGTACATTGGGTCATTCTGGGCACAGCCCTTGTTGGTCCCGGACAACAGGAAGTTGTTTGAGGCGGAGGAACAGGACCTTTTTGTGGACATTCAGTCGCTGCCACGCAACGCAGCTCTACGCAAACTTAATGACCTCATCAAGCGAGCACGTCTCGCTAAGGTCAGTATTAAGAAAATTAAACCCTGTGGCCCAATGCAATGATCATTGCACAAAGCACCACATTCTTTTATACCAGTGCTTGAGTAGCACCTATGCTTTCTTTAAAGGATAGGCATGGATACTTGGAGAAACGGCACAGGTTCACCTTTGAAGTAGTGATAGAATTGGTATGGATTGGTAGGAAATGCATTTTAAAAAATTCAGTGCTATACACCACCACTAGTTCTGTGGTGTGTGATAATCCAGTAGTCACTCGCTGATGGATCATAGGAGTGTCTATAGACAAGCTTAGAGTTCAGCCTGCTGCTCTTTTCACATAGAGTGAGCTCAGTGCACATGGCAGTTTACTGGCGTTAGAAGGTGTGCGTCTGCATGAAACCAAGCTCACCACATGTCAACCAGCAGCAGCGGTGACATTACATCTGGGGCACAGGTGACAAATAACACTGTAATAGTATAAACTAAGCTTTGTAGCGTTCACATCATAAACGCAACCCGTTGAAAGTACCAGTATACTTTTTTGCATATTTTTATAAATGGTATATTTAAAAAAAACATGAATTATAAATAATTAAAAAAAAAAAAACACAGAAAAACAGCACTGACCACTTTCGGAAGAAAGCCTGCGATGTCAGAAAACACATTTTATATGCATTTATTTACCCTGGAAATATGCGTCACTGTGTTCTGTCTCGATGTAGTATGTGTTACTGTGTTTTTACACGTTCCAGCCATAGACCCGTCCTATCTTCTTACATTTTGGTGGCATTTTTCATTTAATTGTAAAAAATGTTGAATTCTTTTTAAAATAGATATTTCTGTCACAGATTACCATTCTTAGACTCGGCTGCTGAGTTTAATTTATGTGGTCATATTTTCACTCTCTATTCTTTTTAAGCCCCTGTCTTGTGTCACTAATAGGGTGACACCAAAAAACAAACAATCCCCACCCTGCAACTTAGTGTTTCATGTTTAAAGTCACCACAAGCAGATGTCGGCCCAGTGATATGTTTGAACATATGTCAGTTTTAAAACGACTAATACAAATTATAGCACAGGGTTTATCTATTTCTGCTTTTAGTCAATATATATATATCTGAAATTTAAAAATGCACTGCAGACATCCATTTTAAATCTAGTTCCCTTCATTTGGCCTTCTGCCTGATTGAAAAGTCCAAAATTCAGATGTTGTAGCTCCGAAATGTTTAATGCAGAAGTCCAGAGGGTGCTAAGAATTTCTGCTTTTTCTCTTATGCATTCAGGTGCAAGCTTACATTATCAGCTCTCTGAAAAAGGAGATGCCGAGTGTGTTTGGAAAGGACTCCAAAAAGAAGGAGTTGATTGCCAACCTGGGGGAAATCTACCACAAGATAGAGAAGGAGCACCAGATCTCACCCGGAGACTTCCCCAAACTTGATAAAATGCAGGTAAGATTTAAAAAGGGGAAAAAAGAAAGAACTGAAGCACTTCCCTGACAAAACTGAAGTGCTGTCTTGAGTTACAGATCTGATGAAAACACAACTCTATTTTTGGAGTGTTGTATAAAGTGTTAGAAACCGGCTGTTCAGAGTAGAATGACCTTCCAACCTTTTACTCTTCACATCTTTGCCCTTCTTTCCTGCTCTTGCCCTCCAGGATGGGCCAGGACGGCGATGAGATTTATTTTTCCTGGTTTGTCAGGAAATCCTGCTTCTTGTATGTTGCTCCCATTGGTAGCCATTGAAGACTGATCTATTTCTATCACCAATTCCTGTTTTCTCTCAACCACCTTCATTCCCTCAGGAGCTGCTAAACGGTCAGGACTTCACCAAGTTTGCTTCACTCAAACCCAAACTGCTGGAGGCGGTGGAGGACATGCTCGCCAATGACATCGCACGTCTCATGGCAATGGTCCGCCAGGAAGAGGCCTCCATGCCCAGCCAGACCGTCAAGGGTGGAGCTTTTGAGGGAACCATGAGTGGTCCCTTTGGCCACGGTTACGGTGAGGGTGCCAGCGAAGGCATTGACGAGCTGGAGTGGGTGGTGGGTCGCGACAAGCCCACGTACGATGAGATCTTTTACACCCTCTCTCCCATCAACGGCAAAGTGTCCGGCGCTGCCGCCAAGAAGGAGTTGGTGAAGTCCAAGCTGCCCAACACAGTCCTGGGAAAGATCTGGAAGCTGGCAGATGTGGATAAAGATGGCTTCCTCGACGACGAGGAGTTTGCCCTGGCCAACCACCTGATCAAGGTAAAGCTGGAGGGCCACGAGCTGCCTCCCACGCTGCCAGAGCACCTGGTGCCCCCGTCTAAACGTGGGACGGTGGAGGCCTAGATGCACCCTGCAGATCATTGATGTCAACACAGGGCTCTCCAGGCAGTGTCTAACTTCAAGAAAGAACGGCAGCACCTGGGGTATTTTTCACCAGAGAGAGACTGGAGGGTATCTGGGGGTTGGGTGGGAGGGAGGGCGGGTCCATCTTTGTGAATCTGGGGTAATGTTTAGTGTGTGTGAAATAAACGGTGGGAGAGGGGTTTGATTTGCAGACCGATAGAAGGACAATTACCAAACTGATGGGTAGCTGGAGGTCACACGATGAGGTGGAACATGGATTTATGCATCCTGTGTAAAAGATGTCTTACAAATATACACTTCATATTGTTATATGTTGATCCAAAGAAATCTAGTTTTTTTTTTTCCAAATGGGAAAGAGAAAGGAAATTAATCAAAACAGTTGTTAGATGTGCTTTATCTCTATTTTTGTATTTCCTCACTGTTAACTTTGACTCTTTCCAGAAGCTTCCTTTTTTATTATTTTGCCGGATAAATAAAAAGGAATGCTTGTACCATTCAAAAGGTTAAGTGGATTTGTATTTAATATTGCTATATCACATTTAACAGTGGTTTGTCAGAAGAAAGCTACTTATTAAAATGGGGGAAACACATTTAAATAAATATGCTAAATAAATCTTAACTGATTCATAGTTTGGTGCTTTAAATTTGTAGTGGTTTTCTGTTACCAAAGGTTATGCCAAGGACTGTGTCACCCAGAGGTCATCCAAAGGTCATCCAGAGACTATTTAATGTATTAATTTAAATTGGTTTAGTGTGCTCTTCTGCCCTCTGTAGGCTAGACAGAGTCAAAGCAGGGGGCTGGGAGGACATATAAGGTAATTTAGCCATGAAAGTGGCTTCTGCCTGCATGTTTTCAAGGACAAATTGAAAATGGTGGCGAAGGCAGACATGCTTGCGTTCTCTGGAGCTCTTACACGACACGTGGAGACAATTTTACAAAAACTCAGTCCGGGCTCAGAGACGAGCACAAATTGTAAACAGAAAGACAGGAAACACTCTCCAGTGAGCCTGGAAATAATATACACTTTTATTCGCCTTATAAATCTGTGCGACTATATAACCTGAGCAGGCCTAATGTAGATGTCAGATGTCAAAACAAGCAACTGAAGTATAAATAATACTCGTCAGGCCTGTGTGTATCGGCTGTTTTCTCAGTGTTTGTAAAGGGAAATGCAGAAAGATGACTTATGCAATTCCAAGAGTTGCACAAACACATCCTCATACACTGCACGTCTCATCATGTTTGTTTGCATATTTTCCAAATGACAGATTCATCGTCTCATCTGATCATTTTATGTAACTGAATATCAGTTGAGAGAATCAGTTTACCTCCTAAAACACGCCATTACACTCACGATCATGTGTTTCCATCTTATCTTAAAATTACTCTGAAACGCTGCACAGTGACTCAGTAAGTTATCAGCCAGCATAAGATACATGATATTTCTCCTCTGGTCCAGAGGCGCTCTCTTGTGTCTTCCTGAGTTATTACAAGTGCTGTTTCAACCAGTTGTAAGCAATTCTACTTTCCCACGCCCTTCCAGCACATGCGTGATGGTGACAGTAAACATTATGTAGTTATTAGGAGCTGCACAGATTTCTAACAGGTCTGCTCGGTCTTAATTATCTTTATCTGCATTCTTGCCCCAAATTAACATAACCATCCTTTCTCTGTCATTTACTTATTGATACTTGACGTGAATGGTTTAATGTATTGAATGGTAAAAATGTATTGCTTTTTGTGTTGTTACACCTTTAACATAAGTCACGCAGTTAGGCCCATAAAAGTGCTTTAACCATTAAGGCCTCTGTCAGTGCGCCCCAGGGTGGCTGTGGCTACAATGTAGCTGCCATCACCAGTGTGTGAAATGTGTGTGTGCTGGTTGTGTAAAGCGCTTTGAGGTCCTTAGGGACTAGTAAAGCACTATACAAATACAGGCCATTTACCATTTTTATCACATCACCCAGGTTCAGATTGAGCAGTTTGTTTTTTTTGTCCTTTCAAATTAACCAGATTAAAGACCTGCATTTGATTCCAAGTGTTGATCTTGGATTTAGTAGCTGTTCACTGGAACTAAACAAGCGAACAGCTACTAAAAATGTAAATAAGGTACACCATCATTAAGCTGAAACACCCAAATAAACCAATCGGGGAGAGAACACTAACTTTAATCTGGTACATGTGTAAAAAGTGTGACAGCACAGGGCTGCTCAGCACCACTAATACACCACAAAAGACAGTTTAAGTGCATGATTGGATTCAAAAACACTCATTATGAGGTATGAATATCATTGTCAAGGGAGTTTACAACAAGGTAAATGAACAGATAAGAGATAAACTTGGTCCAGAACAGTAGGAAGAGAAAAGGCTTGTGATCTAAGGCATACCATGCCATCTGTCAAACATGGTGGAGGCAGTGTTATGACATGGGCGCCTAGTGGAACCAGGTCATAGTGTTTATTAATGATGTGACTGCTGATAGAAGTAAAAGGATCAACTGTAAAGTATGCAGGGCTCTACGCTCTGCTCAGATTCAGCCAAACGCTGCAAAACTGATCAGATGTTCTTCAGTGGCCCAGTGAGTCAACAGAGCGTGCTTTTCAGCTATTCAAAACAAAACTGAAAGCAGTAAAGGTCTGACGTAACATCTTAACCACGAAGACCGCATCTGGTGATGTCCATGGGGTTTGTGGTCCAAATACTTACGGACATAAGCTGCATGTTTTAAGGATGCACAACTCACCTGATTGTACTGTTGGTTGCATAACTGTGTCTGCAAACAAAATGAATTTAACCAAAAGTGGATGCTTGTTTGTTGTGTCCCATTAAAGAGGTAAAAACTCTTTTAAGATGGATTTATTTTTGTTCTCTGGCACAAAAATGTTGTTGAATATAACAACTGTTGTAAAAACCACTGATCCTGAATTTCAGCCACTGCAACACTATCACAGGATAAAGATCAAAATACAAGCCTTGTCATTAAACTGATGCAAAGAGAGGGAAAAAAGGATAACTAATAAAATCGGAAAGAAATCATTAGTTAAGAAACGTGACTGGATTATTCAGCCAATCAGAGATACCAAGAGATTCCTAAAATTTAACATAAAGCATAATTTGTGGCCACCTTTAAAATGGAAAAGAAATGCAATTTAGAAAGAATTTTTTTCCATTTACTATGAAAATATTGGAATTTACTGAAGCTCCTTTGCTTCTGATGTTCTTTTAATTGTAAATAAAACGGAGCCAAAAACATTTACTTCCCCCTGAAAAGTCGGGATCCTCCCCGGTTCAAGCAGATTATTTCCAGCTGGCAGCAGCTCCAGAGTTCCCCCTGTTCAGGTATGATAATTTACTGACAGAAAGCTGCTGGAATGCCCAGGCTGGTGTGAAGAGAGAGGCTGTTTGGCTCTGCATCCCTGTGCCTCTGTACACTGTGTGTTTGGATAGCCGCTCTTCCACACTGTATATCTCTCCTTTACATTGTTTCCGTCTTCCTGCCTTCCTCTGTCAGGACGTCACCCTTTTCGCCTCTTCCTTCCTTGCCTTCCACTGTTTTCTGCTACTGCTTCTTTGTTTTTCATCTGTATTCCAGCCATGCCCCTGACTCTCTTTCACTCCACGTCAACCCTCTGACATGCTGACCCCAGCAGGGAGCTGACTGGGTCAGGCTTATGTAACACAGTCATGTGGAGGCCCACTTGGAATGAAGCACCTGTAGCCTATGTGTGAGTACAAACTGTAAGATGTGCAGCTATTAAATACTCATCTTATATAAGTCAAGTCAGCATTAGTGTAGTTTGAACATCCTTAATGACCTGTGGAATAAACCTCATATATTGGACACTTTTTAAGATGTGTGCCTACTTTTTCTGCACACTGAATGCAATCTTTAAACAAGGATATCCGAAAAACTTCCAAAGGTAAAAGCCTGAAATCTTCACTTGCCTTTCTTGCCATCAAAATGAACCAGATCTGTAATTTCAACTGTAAGCCTCCCATCTTACTCAGCACCTCAAAAATCTTGCGCGTCTTATGCATGAGTTCAGAAAGGAAGATCTGCAATCACTCATTTGCCTGCCTTCCTGGGTTTTAGGCTGCTTTGCTGTTCTCTTCATCACTACTGCTTTTCAATACAGTCAATCTCAATACTGTCATCATTACTCTAGTCCAATTATCTTCTTGCCCGCCTTCTTAGAGCCAATCAGTATCCACTTTGCGTTGTTTAAATCTACGCTCTCTGTCGTTCTCCCTTTCAGACTCATTCGTGTAACCCACCTCCTCCCCATCTCCACCTAGCAGACAATTCAGTGAGAGCTTCATCCAAGCCTCAGTCTTAATCTTCACCAGCACCTAGACTCCTGTTCTATATCCGATCATCACTGGGATTCTGTTCTGCCATGATGGGTCATCGGAGTCTAACTGCCAAATACATCAATTTCTCTATCAATAAATCATGTTCTTCCAGATGATTTCTCCTTATTTAAAAGAAATTGTATTCTTAGAATCTGTGTAGGAAATATCACACAAGGTCAATAATTTATTGGGACAAAATTTTATTTTTTGGTGATTTAAGAACACATCAGAGCAGCTTCAAATGTACCTCTAGGAGTGCTTCAATATTTCCTGTAATGAAGATGTTTTCTGGACAGTTTCACATTCTTGAGGGAAGATGGGGATGGGCAGAAGGAAGATTTCATATAAGTGTTTATAAGTTACAATGTTTAACCTGATTTTGTCTGGTGGAGGGGGTGGAAAGTGCTGCCACAAACACAAACACCGGTTTATCTGCATTGAAACTCAACAGAAAGACTTTTTTTTTTATGTTTAAAGAGACAAAATACACACCAAACATTCAAATTAAAAGAAAAATCTTACATTTTTTTCTTAATTAAAAAAAAAAAGCTTTATATACTGAATATCTTTTAATAGAAACCCTTAAATATAATTAGTCCTGTTACCCCAAACCAAATCTGAGTCTTTACCACAGACTCGTGTTATCTCTTTAAGTCCAGGGAGGTTTCATGAGGTAGACAGATGTGCTCTTTGGGGGGGAGGAACAGTCTTGCTTTGGCTCAGTTTGTCCTTTTTTCCCCAGGTTTGGTTGTGTGGTGTCTCCACTGGTCACAAATCAGTTCATTTTATCACTTTTCAGGCTCAGCAGGGCCGCTTGGCTGCTTGCAGAGGAGCTCCGAACATTTCCTGAGAGGCATAGGTGATATACAGGAAGCCGTCACCATCTCTGTAGCGGGTATACACCTCCCCCATGTTGGAAGACATGCAAGACATGCTCTTCTCCGCCACCAGGAGAAACAGAGCCTGGGTGGAGTCCAGAGCGATTTTATTCCTGGAGGGGAGACAGTTGGAGAGGCAGACTGAGATTTTTAGGACAAAGAAAGACAGAATGTGAGGGAGGCAGAGGCATGGCGAAGAATGACAAATCTGACAACTTGCAGGAGAAGAAAAGGGCTTTAAAAATCAGAACAAAAGAACCTGCTGTGAGTCACAGATGACGTACCTGAGCAGGCAGAGGAACTGACCCAAGGTGAGCTCATAGGGAACCAGGAACTTTGTTTTGTCCAACAGGGGAAGGGTCCTTTCACGGATGTAACGTTCGACAATCACCTAAAAGCAAAAACACGTCTGCTTTAACAGGAAGTTCAACAACACGCATCTATTATGTCTTTAAAACATCTTAGTCTGAATCAACTTACAGGCAGCTTGTTGGGGAATTTAGACCGAATGCTGCACACTTCATTTTTTCTTGTTGCTAGAGAAAAAAATAATAATAATTTGAAGACCATATTTTACACACATGCTTTAAAAACAGCATCCACTCAGTGAAAGGTCAACCAAATTGTCCTACTGAGGCATTTCCTCTGCTTGAAGGGCACCGTTTCCACAGATTTCTCAAAAGGAGCCATTTGTGCTTGGTTTTGTTGAGTGTTTCGCAGAGGCCGGTGGTGATGGAGGCTGTCTCGCCCGGGCTAACGACAGAGTCCCCTCGGGTGGAAGTAAGCAAACCCCGACGAGCTGAGGTGACCACTCGTGTTTTATAGGGTGCGTGGGCTGGGAGGAGTCGAAATGTGACACCAGCAAACAAGGACACGCTCCTCGTCCCGGGGAGAAGTGTGTATGGATGCAGAGGTGAGTGTGTGTGTGTGTGTGAGATGTGTGTCCTCTTCAGAACAGATTCACACATACTGGCTATCTCTCTGAGTGTTCTCACATCGGCTTGTGATTTCGGTTCTGCTGTCACGTACACAGAGGAGGACACTATGTGAAGAACACAGCGTAACGAAGGAGGCCCGCCTCCAAGAGAAGCAGAGGTTCCTAAACAAAGCTGCACAACCCAAACTGTCACACTCAAAAACTAGATGAGCCATACTTCTATCCTTTCACTTAGTGTCTGACGTAGGACACCATGGTCATCTTTAGAACATTTAACCCATGTTAAGCTAAATTTTTACCCTTGACTAACAATGGCCAGCACCAATGATGACAGTGACTTGATCCTGTGTGCTTCTAATTACAGGAAGCACTGTGTAACTCATGTCTGCAACATCTGCAAGCTCCAAATGTTATCTTATTACCTTTTTAAGTGCTGTGTGTGTTTCACACATATGGACACAGAGACATTCATTTAGATCCTCAGGCAGAAATCTGTAGTTGTTTCCACATCACATCTAAAGTCAAAGGGCGATTGTGCTTTGGCTGTCGAGCTTCATCAGTTGTTGACTGACCGGCCTGATGAAGTCTGATTTGCCTCATCAGTGTCTTCTTTTAAATCACTGCCAAAGACTTGTTTATATCATGTATATGATATCTGTTGGTATCCGTTTTTGTGTAGATTTTTGGCATACTCTGCTGATTCTTTTAACATTTAGATAGTTTTTGTCTTCACTTTAAGTTATTACAGCAGGTCACACTGTATCTTCTTCGTATTGTCATTTTTGAATGCTGTGTGGCCCATTTTAACTGATTTGGAAATTGTTTTTATAATTTTCTCTTAGTTTGTTCTTTTATTCTTTGTTTGCCAGAAGCACTTTGCAATTCTGCTTTACACATAAACTTTAATATTATTATTAGTGTTATTATTATCATTATATTAACTGGGGCTGTATTATTTTGATTTATTCAGTCTCTTTACACTTCTCTTTCTATTTTCTTTTGGAAGCTCTAAAATCTGCGTGTAAGCTGCTTCCCTCCTGAATTTACTGGAGTTGTCAGTTTGTTATGGAGCTAAAACTAGTATTTTGCAACAAGAGTTCAGCAAGTATCATCACAGTGACAGCTATTTATGTTGGTTCCACAAAGACTGTAATTTAACTATATTTCGTTATACAAAAATGTGAGTTCAGATTTTGTGGAAACCATTGTGAATAAACTGTCAGCTGAGTTATGAACAATGCATTTCTCTTTAAGGAGCTCATTCAGCAATGGACAGCTGCTCTACTCTGGATAAAGATTGCCCTCTGCTGGATGGAAGGTAGCCCAAAGGTCCCCTGCACTGCAGAGGAGACGCTCACCTATGCCTATCATGACATTTTCCCCAGTGGCTTCATTCTTAGTGGAGTGATAAAAACTCTTGTCAGTTTGTCCCCCCCAAACTGACGACTTTATGCTTTTTAAAATGTTTATGAAGTACATTTAAAATAATATAAATCCAACTAACAGAGTCAGAATTTTAAATAAATAAATAAATAAATGTAACACTGAGAAACAGTCAGAATTCTCATTTCGAGAGATGATTTCTGACTTTACTCTCATTTATTATATCACTAGGCTATTCTCAATATTTTTAGAATAAAGTGAGAAAAGAAAATCATAATTCTGAGATTAAAGTTGAAATGTTGAGTTTAAATCTGGATTCTGAGAAGTCAGACTTCAGAGGAAAGTCAGATTTTAGAGAAAAAGTCAGAAATTAAAGAAAAAAAAATCCAGTTGATGAGAATAAAGTCATAATTCTGACTGTTTCCTGTGAATTCTGATTTAATCTCAGATTTCTTTCAGATAAAAAAAAAAATAGATTCATGACACAACATTATTTTTTCTGAGGCTTTAACCTTCTTCTGTAGTAAGACAATTGAAACTTGTGGGTGGATCCAGTGTTGCTCCGTTCTGGCATCCTCTCCTCCCATGCCTGCCAACTCCAAGCTGCCCACATGTCACATACAGTAAACACAGCAGACTGGCCAGGGTAGCTCACTCTGAGAGCAAATAGTGCTCAGAGGTCACTGAATGTCACTCAGCACAAGGTAATTTAGGATTATGCTATTTGTCATCACAAAATAAATGAAGATTTTAAAAGATCCAAACTGTTTAGTTGCAAGAAAACCACAAAAGTAACAAACAAGTCAGTTCAGTTGTATCTGTTTAACACAAATTTGCAACAACAGTCACCTCAAGGAACTTCATATTGTAAAATAAAGACCCTAGAGTACAAAAAACAGGCAAGCAAACAAACAATAGGGAAAGACCCTTTTTGCAGAGTGCATACTTTTACTAGTAGATATCACGACGGTGTCAACGATGCTGAAACTAAAGCACTTTTGTGTTAGCTGTGCATTTTTTCCCCAAGAAAAGAAGAGGATAAAAACTTTGCTGTGATTTTTTCCCCATATAAGGTCAAACTTTGCCCCCAGAGAGGGGGCCTGATTCACCTTGACTGGTAACCATTGGTAACCCTCATTCACCACACATAGGAACTTTATTTTTGTGAAGCTGCTTCAGCACAATTCCTGTGCTCAGTCTCTTCCTTATGTTAGCAGAAGGTCGTAAACTATAATGATTTATTACTATACATATAAGAAAGTATAAGCAGCTTTTAAAACTTGAAGCTATTTGACTATTAGCGTATCACATGTGACAACTAGGATATGTTCCACTCTCATCCCCGCCTTCCACCCACCCCAAATCCTGAATTAGACGGATAAGAAACCCGGGAGAAAGAAACTGGATGGATGGCAAACACAGCTGCTTTCATTTATTTACCCTGCAATTATTCTAAAGCATAATGTTTAGTGGAAATAGGTAGGTAAATGTCAGCAACACTCCAAATGACAGGAGGCGTAATCAGACAGAGCAAATGCAGGCTTCTGTGTGGGTGAGCAGCATCTCTCATGTGCGCTGTTTAGCTATAGAGTTACATGCGATAGAAGGGATAAATGCAACGTCACTGCTTAAAGACTACGCTTGGAATACAAAGATCGTCCTTTGATATGTGCATTCAATAAGACTATAGAGTATAGATTTCACTAATGCAGGCATCGGATTATAGTATTCAACTCTATGCAATGTATCAGTGAAGAAAATAGCCACATTAACATTATACACATTATATCTCAAAGAAAAGCACTCCTCAAAGTAATCAGATTACTGCTGCAATATCTTCTTATTAAATTAGTCACACATTCCCTCAATATCTAATATTGTTTGAAGTCACATGACAAGACAGCATTTTACACAAAAGGTGTTTATCCAGTAAGCTTCTAAAGTAGAACAAAGACTCTTAGTTTTAAATGTAATGGAGTTAAAATTCTACTTTTCTTACAGAAACGTCAACGCAGCCAAATAAAGCTGTTCATACTGGGTCACGTGGCTTCTTATCGCAGCTCTACTCCCCATCTTGCAGAGACGATAAAATTTTGCATAGCTGCAGCTTTTAAGATGAAATACGTGCAAGTTTCAAGTTATAGCCGATGGAAAAAACACTTGCAGCGCATTAAAAATTCAACTTTTCTACATTTAAAAAAAAAAAAAATCAGTTTAGGGGTCAAAACATGGGCTAAAAAGTGGAGCAGAGAAACGACCCTGCTGATTATGTGCACAGTGTGCTGCTCGGAGCGTGGGTGCTGGGGTGTTTTCTACTGCTATAGTTGGATGAACACTTGAGGAAACAGTGCATCTGTCCTCTGCGATCCTGCACGCTGAAGTTGGACACTCTGGGAATTTTCTTGCGTCCGTTCGAAAAAACTTGGTCGTCCAATCCGTGTGCAGCTCCTGCACACTGGCTCCTCCTTCCCCTCTCCCTCTGCCTGCTCCCACATGTAACGCTATCGCTGCCTCTCTGTTGCATTGTCTCATTGGGGACGCAGCGCACGGAGTCCAGCGCTGCGGACAACTCCGGCGGACCTGCGAGCTTTAAAGTGACAGGGGAAGGAAAAATGGACAATGTCGAGCGGAAATGAAAACCTGGGATAGTATGAGTCATGGCTCGTTGAGGTGTCTTCAGTCTGCCGGTGGATTCATTAATTCCAGCCCTGTGTCAGTCAGTCAGCGGGGCTGCCTGAAGCCGCGAGGCTGCACTGCACGTTAGAATGAGCCGCTATCCTTGATGTTGCGTTAAACCAAGCAGCTGCTATGTTGAAATCCCTCATTCGGACCTGTGTGGCTCTACCTGGTGCTGGACCCTAGTCCGTTCCTTCCCTTATCCCGGTGTGCGGTAACTGAGCGGTGGTCAGCGGTGCGCCCTGAGGAGGATGGCCGCCCGCCGCGGATGCGTGAACTCGCTCTGGTCGGGCACCGAGCGCGTCCGCATCGGAGAGCGCCTCAAAGCGACGCTGGCCGGAGTGATGGAGCTGGAGGTGCTCAGGTGCAAACACCTGGAGATGGTGGACGCCGCTCTGGAGGATCGACCGCCCGTTGCCGCCAACGCTGAGGATCCACGGGCGGCGGAGGAGGAGGAGGAGGGGAGAGAGACCTCGGAAAGCGGCGCAATGGATGCCGAGCATGGCTCTGCGACATCCCGCCGGCAACAGGTCAGTCAGTACGTCTGTCAGCTCACAGGTCGGATCCACAGACAGATGATTAAATATGAATGAAGGGCTGATGGTGATCTGCCAAAAAGCCAGTCCCTCTGCGACTCACTAGACAGATTTTATCGCTGCCTCGAGCGCACGGCTGTGCCGAGAGCTGAATACTCAATTGAATGTGATGGTGCCAGAGATCAAGCCAGGCATGCAGTGTGTGCGTGTGTGTGTGTGACATGGAGCAAATGTCACTGAGGTCAGGAAACCGGGACCAGCTCTGGC